TTACAAAAAGTGTTCACTGTCTAAGGTCGCTCTAGTTACCTACTATCTTAAAAGAAGTAGATATAGGATAACAATATTATTAAATAAAATAAAGTAAAACCTGTTTTGTATATAATGCATAAACATTCTATTGTAAAACACTTAGAAACAAATACTATGTATTATAAAATAATTGAATAATATTATTAAATCAAATATATTAAAATGTATATAAATATGTTAAAATATATAAAAAATACCAAAAGAAACAAAAAAACTAACAAACTGAATCTCTCTATTCTATTCAAATAGAACAAGCCTTCAAATAAATTAAATTAACCTAATAAGACTATTACTTGTTTTTTTTTTTTTTTTAATTTTAAGCAGTTATGCTAGTACTTTATTAAGATTCTTGAAACTATATACATTTATAATTATATAAAATTTTTCAATATCTAAGTCTAGCATCACTTGGCCACCCAAATAGTACCTAAGTGCAACTTGTTACACTATCTTAGTTAGAGATAGACTGCTCATCTAACTACTTAAAGCTGTACTAGAAAGGTTTTCTTTCTTCTATGACAAGCATATCAATTATTTTCTAAGCTTCTTTCTTTATTTAATTCATTTTTTCTGCCTTGTTTTTTTTTTTTTTTTCTTTTGTTAGTTTGTTTTTTTCTGTTCTTTTCTTTAATTTTTTCTTCATTTGCACACCTTTTTTTATTTTGCTTGTTATGTTGTTCTTCTTTTTCTATGCTTGCACTTTTCTGCATCTAACTTTTTATACTTGGTTATAAAATGTGTTCTATACTATTCTTGTTACTACATCTATATATTTCTGTATTGTCTGCATATTTAAAATCTGCTTAAGTCTCTTGCCAACCTCTATTGTAGTTAATCCTTTTATCAGTATCCTTTTATTACTAATTTTTTTTGCCTCTGTTTTTCCAAATAATGCTTTGTATAGTACTAGAGATAGAACTCTATTTTTTTACTTTTTTTGAGACTATTCTATGCTGTTGCTATTGCTACTTTTTGGATCCTTTTCCACAAGCTTTTTTGTTCACTGCAGCTTGCTAGATATGTCTGCATTTTCTTTTCACCTTTATGACAAACTTAACAGTCTGTTGTTGTATAAATTTTTGGTTTTCTTCTATTTAACTCTTCTAGCATTAGTAGACTGTCCATTATGTACTTAATTGCTGTCACTCTTCTTGTACTAAGCTTTCTTGTTATGCAATGTATACTTTTGTTTTGTTTATTTCTCTTCAAAAACTTGACCAATTATATTGAATATTTTCTGTTTCTAGTTCTAATACTCAGATTGGATTTGTTTCTCTTCAATTGGCTCTGATTTTGGCATTTGTAATTATCTTGCAGAGAAGTCTTATTGGTATATTAATCTTTCTATTTTTCTTATTCTAAGTAGTACTCTATTCCTTTACACTTGACTTCTTTGTGAATATTGCTCTTTTGCATGTTGCTTTTTTTTTTGTGAGTAAATCTGCTTTGTTATTCTACCTATTATTGCTGTTTTTGCTTTTAACAAGATTTACAATATTTATTATCTATATTGCATTTTTCTTTTTTAGAACTTTAATGTTTTATGCATCTTAAGCTGCTTTGCTAATGTTTCTTAGTGCTGCAAAGCTGTTTGTATACACTTCTATTTTTTTCTTTTCTAATACTGTTAAAATTGCTAACCATATTGCTACTAATTTGCTGAGAGCCAACCTTCAAGTCTCAATGCTGTTTCTTCCTTTGGCCAATTTTTCTCTTTTTCAACTTGCACACAACTAATACCTATTTTTTCTATGCTACTTTCTCTTTCTTCTTTATATAATGCACCATCTGTGTAGAAGATATACTTGTCTTTGTTTTTTGTCATATTTCTTATAAAGGCCTCTATTAGGTAAGCTGTAATTTTATTATCAAATTCTTGTTTTTTAATTAGTTCTATTTTCAATCTTTCTACTTGTTTTAGACTAGTTAATCTTTTTTTTTCTTTTTTTTACTTTTTTATTGTTCTATTTTCTAATATTTGTTTTGCTGTTGCATTAATCTTGTTATTGCTTTTCTTTACTAGTGCTTCTAAGACTATTTTTAAACTGTTGCTCTATCTTATCTATTTCTCACAACTGCCTATTGTTTGTTCTGATCCATTTTTATAATCTTTGCAATTGCTTATTTCAGTGTATATTTTACTTTCTATTTCTTGTAATACTTAATGCTCTGCTAGAATCTTTTTCTTTTTTAATATTTTGCCAAGTTGCTAGTTGTGTTTTGGTTTATGCACAATTTATTTTTTTTTCCTTCTGTCTTCTGATACTTTCATCCAATTAATCATTAGTGCTTGAGTGTTGTGGTTGCTAATCTTGTATTGGTCATATATTTTCTTACTTGTTTAGGTTATTAACATTTTCCCTTCTATTTCAATGAACCACTTGGCTTTTTTTTCTTTATATAACAGTTCTTGAAAGTTTTTGAGCTATCTCTATGTGATTTAGTTCTTGTTTTTTATATTTACTAGTTGATTTAAATATATTAAACCCTATTTCTTTATTGTGATACTACTTGCTGACCAAGTCTTGGTTTTGATAAGTCTCTTATTCTTGTTTCATATTTATATACTTTTTACAAACACTTTTCTGCTTTGATATTTATTCTCATTTCTTTTGTTTTGGTTATTGTCTGACATGCTAAATTGTATTTTTAATATTTTATTTTTTCTGATCTTCTTTTAGAGTCCTAAATGTTTTTTGTCAAGCTTGCTTTTCAGCAATCTTGGGCTATTTTAAGCCTTGTTAGATTATCTAGACTATTCTTTCTATTAAGTCTTGTGACTAAACTATTTATTTGTTTTGTCATTATCTTTTGTCTTAGTGATTTATAGTTTTCTAGCTCTCTATACTTGATTATGCAGTTGTTTGCTGTTTTTTTTTATTTTTTTTAATTAATATAGGCAGTCACGCTAGTACTTTATTAAGATCATGAAATTACTACTGCAATTACATAAATGTATCTAACAACTAAGTCTAGCATCACCCAGCCACCTTAATGGTGCCTAAGTGCAACCTGCTGCATTACTTCAAACAGAAGTAAATAGCTTGTCTAACTACTTAAAGTCCCTAATGAAAGAGCCTTTCCTCTTTTACGACAAGCCTCAAAATTGTCTTTCTAGCTTCATCTTCGATCCGTTTTTCCTTCTCTTTTAATTATCAAGCAAGAGGATTCCATAATCCTTACCTAAAGAACAACAAAAATAAGGAAAAAAAACTAAAAGGGAGATAAAAAAAAAGAGGGAAACTAACTACAAAATCTAAATGTAAACCAAAAACAAAGAAAAAAGAAAAAGATAAAAAAAAAGAAACAAAAAAAAAACAAAAAAGAAAACATGAAGGCACTATTTTTGCCTGTGCTAGGCTTTAAAAATTCTATATAACACTAAATAAAGAATACTTCATATTTACTTTATCTTTGTGTTATAATATACAGTCAGACCCCCCTAAATGCACGTCGTTGGGACCGGCTCTAAGGCTTGCATTTAGGGAGGGGCTGCAATTAAAGAATAGCCAATCAGATCGCGGTGTAATTACAGACACGTGACTTTAATATTGGCCAATAGAGAACGTGATTTCTAAAAAAAAAATCGTACGTAGAATGACTATGTATTAACGAGAATAATATTTTTAGACAACTCTTGAATGGACTATATAGCCTTCTTATGATGCCATATACTTTTAAATTATAGTTTGTCGGAAGAGTGCAACTCGCAGGCAAATTTGCCTGCGAAACGGCGTAAGTGTAGATTACTATAGATCGCTAATTACCATAGATTAATCATAGATCACTAATTAACGAAGGGCAATACTCAAATAATTTGTTTTTAAAAAACTTTTTTTATAAGCAGTATGTCTACGTTTGAGAGTTTTGCATTTTTTTAAAAAAATTTAATGAACATTGACACTGTGTGTAGAATGACGGGCAAGATCACAAGATAAGTAATTTAAACTTTTTTTTTTTTTTTGTGGACGATACTTAACTAATAATTTCTTTACATAACCAGGTTTATGTGTAGAATAACGGGCAAGATCACAAGATAAGTAATTTAAACTTTTTTTTTTTTTTTGTGAACGATACTTAACTAATAATTTCTTTATATAACCAGGTTTATTTAATTTTAAATATACGGGTAATATATATTGTTTGTTCATTTTTGATCAAGTTTTGATTGTTTAGTTAATTTATGTTTCGTTAGTTTGTCTTTTAGTTTAAAGAGATTATATTTCTTTGGTTTAAAATTTTTTGATGTACGGTTAATCCGCCAATTCAAAAAAGGCTTTAATGTTCACTTGCTTGAAAGATGAATTTCGAAGTTTCTTTATTTCCTTTTGCAGATTTGACAAAGCTTGGTCATGATTTGACCGGGCTACATCACCAACATCTTGTTGCATAAGATAGTGTTCAAGCACTTCTACAGCACTTAGTGCTTCGTGGTGAGTAATTTGGTGTATTTCTGCACTATCATCCTCTTCTCCATTACTTTCATCCTCATCTTCTTCATCACCATTAGTTTTTTCAGGTTCCAGGTTGGTAACAAGGGCCAAAATTTCCTCATCATTCAATACTTCATTTGTTTCTTTCTCTTCTGGGTAATTGACATATTCTTCAAGGTCCATTACGTTTCGGAAATGGAGTGCTTCGATGTCAGCATACATTTCTTCCATCAATGCATTATCATCATCATCGTTGTTATTATTATTATTATCGTCATCATTATTATTATTATCGTCATCATTATTATTATTATCAAGGGCAAGTTCTTCATCATTTTGCATAGTTGGAAGGATTTTTGTATGTCTAAAACAATTACTTACCGTTTCTGATGATACTTCTCTCCATGCTCGGACAATAAATTTTATGGCATCAAGAACATTCAATTTGTCATCTTTTTTAGATTCATACTGATCAAGAAGCCATTTTATAAAGTAACTTCGGTATCGACGCTTAAAGGACATGATAATGCCAGCATCCAGAGGTTGAATTCGAGATGTTGTATTTGGAGGAAGATAATGAATGGTTATATTATGGAGATTCAGATTACTGGAAGAATGGCATTTTGCATTGTCCACTAGAAGAATTATCTTACGGCCAGCCATCTTTTTGTCGAACTCTTTAAGCCACGATTGGAATAATACAGTTGTCATCCAGGCCTTTTTACTTGCCCCGTATGTTACGCCAAGCTTATTACGTTTGATATTTTTAAAACAACGTGGATTCGGAGACTTACCAATTACAAATGGCTTTATTTTATCAGATCCATCAGCATTGGCACAAAGTGCCAAGGTTAACCTTTCTTTATCTTTTTTTTTACCTTTAAGACGAACAGTAGCAAGCGTGGTATCTGGTTCGAGGCTAAAAGAACAGAATTATAAGATAAGTATAGTATTAATAAACTTTAATATACTATTTATTGTGATGGATTAAAATAAAATAAGTGATAGTGTCAAATAGATAAGCCACCAAAAAAATACAACTTTTGTGGTGCATTTTTTTAATATTTTCTTAGAGATAGGATTAGTGTTTAGGGGTAGAATGTATAATAAACAAGTATAGGTGGGTTTTGGAAGGTCAAATAGAAATCCTTCATTTCATTTTAATCCGATTTTATTATGATTCGCGACATTTATTCTTCATTATAGGAAAATAACAGTCAATTATATTTCTGAATTCTTTTAGTTTTGATGAGAGCTAAAAAGAAAAATTTTAGGAAAATAATTGATTATTATTTCTTGTAACAGAGAATAAATATATTATTTTCCTGTTTTACTAATTGACAATTGAAGGTCTTTTTTTTACTAAATTTAACTTATCACCAAAAGAATATGTATCGTATGGCACTGTATAGTTCCCGGGTTCTTTTTATAGAAGTTATTATAGTAAGGAGGTATTATAGTTAGTGCTGTACAGTAAATTCTTATCAAAAACAATTAGTAAAATGGGACAATTATTATAAATCATGCCAGTAGTGCTTAGCGTTATAATTTTTTATTATAATTTGTTGTTAATATTTAAGGTTAGAGTTAAAAATTAGAATAAAATTAAGTTAAAAATAAAGTTTGGGCAAGGTTTTTTGGGATGCTAGGCATTTTTACTTAGTACATTTGATCTTAGTTATTTAGATAGTTTTTGAAATATGATAACTGCGGTATTAAACACCATTGGTATGATTTAACAATACTAAAATGGGAAATAAAATTTATTATTACCAGTAAAACAAGCCCGTTTCATCCATATTATAAATATCTTTTATATTATATTCCTTTAACACTTCTCTTAATTTAGGTATAGCATCTGCAACAATATCATCATCTACCGAAGCGTCTTCGCCGTGCTTTTTTATTTGCCCTAACTCGTGTCTTATTTTAAATTTATATAACCATCCATGTGAAAATTTAAGATCACCATCTGGTATTTTTAATAATTTAGCAAATTTTTTTGCTTTTTCAATTAAGATGGAATCACTTAAAATGATTTGGTCTTGGTTTTGCAAAATCCATTCATACAATGTATTCTCGAGATCCGGATATTGAACCGTTCTTTGTCTTTTTGTAGAGAGGTTATTTCCAACATCATCTTTATTTTTTATTAAACGCCCAATGGTGGTTGGATGAACCTCAAGGTTAAATTCTTTCTTTACCCACTCAGCAAGATCAACATTGCTGATATTAGGATTTTTATTTTTATGATCAATAACATCCTTTCTTTGTTTATTATTAAGGGTGGTTTTATTTTTTCGCTTACTGGAAGACATCGCTGTCGTTATGGTAATCTTAAAGATTTATTTTATTGATTTATTTTATTGATTTCTTTAAAGGCATGTTAAATATAATTTTTTTTTTATAATTATAGGATACTATTTGTCTAATAAGTTATCATATTGGAATAGATGTCCAGAGTTCTGTGGTGCATGATTTCGGCTTACGCTAAAAAATTTTTATGGATTATTCCCATAAGATAAATGCATTTTCGTTACTTTTTAAATTGCATATGATACAAAAAGTATTTTGGTGTGGGCAGATTTATGTACTGCAAAATTAAGGATACCCTAATTTGTGACAATGCTAATATATATGGTACCATTAAGAACTAATTTCATGCGTAATGGCCGTATGAGTGCTGTCATGGGAAAACCTGCCATTGGGCTTTCAATTATATTTGTACTGAACATAATCAGTCTAATTTGTTAGAGATTATGTCCAGTACAAAGTATAATTGATAGCCCAATGGCAGGTTTTCCCTTGATTGCACTCATATGTAGTTCAAAATTTTTTATCAATCACACGCTAGTTTAACTTTTACATTGCTATCTGTTTTATGCTACATCGTGATAATAAAAATCTATCTAGCATTGTCTAACTACTATTAATTCCCCTTTACAGATGTCAATTACAAGCATCAATGGGCAAAATAACGGTAATCAGGCTTTTTCATTGATGCAATTTACAAGCATCAACGGACGAAATAAAGGTAATCAGGCTTTTTCATTGATGCAATATTTACAAGCATCAATGGACAAAATAAAGGTAATTAGGCTTTTTTATTGATGCAATATTTGAGGGTTATCACCTAACCTATACATGGCGTAAAAATTATTTATACATTGCCGAAAGTATTTTGGCATTGATTTTTAACATAAAATTGCTAAGTTATTTCCAAGACAACTCAGACATTTCATATTAAAATCAAATACCGAAATACTTTCAGCAATGCCGAAATAGTTTCTATACCATGCATAACCTTACTCAATAGGTCAAAAGCAACAGAAAGAAACGTACCTGATCCAAACTGTAAGGGATCATATTTGTAACATTGGCGGTTAAGTTACCATCATTGTGAAATGATCTTTTATATGCTGCACACCAGGTGTGGGATTAAGTTTGGATAGAGTACGTTTTCTTCTGTTGTCAAAAGCAGATGTTTAATTAATTGGGACTAAAAGCCGTATTTCTCACAATGGATATTTAACAAATTGTTATTTATTTGATCATGATTGTTGAGTAACATTCTGATCATTAACAAATTACTGAACACTATAATGATATATTCGATCTGGAATTTTATTGTATTCAAGCTAGCTAGCTATGTATTTGCGATAAAATAATATTTATTAAATTTATATTGACATCATTTTAATAGCCGAATAATATAATTTAACATAAATAAAAATGTAATTCAATACCGGGGTGTATAGTCAATTTACCAAGATTGTATATGTGTAATATTTTATAAATACTAAACGATGATTGGGTAATGGTCACGTGCATGCATTTATGGAGGGAGTTTAAATATAGAAGGGCCAAAAAAGTAGCGTGCATTTACAGAATATAGAACGTGCACTTATCTATAAGGCCCGTCGTGGGCCCGGGTATCTGTCGTGCATTTAAAGAGGTGCTGCATTTAGGGAGGGTGCATTTAGGGGGGTCTGACTGTATTCCATTTGTCATGTAGGGAGAATGATCGAAGTTTTTATTTTCCTCTTAAGTTTGACATATGTCGTCCATTGTAGGTCTGGTACTCGTCTTGTGGTTTTCTCGTGACTAATGTTCCCAATTTGGAAAGGTAAACAATGTCGATCCTTTGAAGGGGGTACGCCAGATTTCCTACTTTTTGGTAAAAATTTCAAGAGAAAAATCTGATAGTGAGGATGAAAAGGTGAACCAACTTGAGAAGGAGTTGTAAGAGTTACACTATATAGAATATTATATTAAGCCAAGTAACATTTAGGCCTAGGCCTTTATAGCACTTGACAAAACTCCAGAGCTTGTTTACTACTTCTTTGCTTGATAGTACTTGTGTTTTACCAAGGGACTTCGCTTACAAAAGTTCGAATCTTTTTCAGCTCTTTTCAGTTACAACCAAGCATGCAGTGAATAGCCTCCCTAGTTAACCTAAAGTAGAGTTTTGTTATATTTAATATAATAACTATATAGTTTTCATAGGTTTGTCTTTTTGAAAAAGTTGGTGTGAGGGATCGTTAGAAAGAGTTGCTGTTAACTTTTGTTGTTTGCTGTTTTCATCATGCTGCACTTGTGCTTTGCTAAACATATTATCAGTTGGTAAATCTAGTTAATCATCTTTTTAACATCTTTGTTAGCTGTAGAAGATATTCTAGCTTTATAAGTATCATTGTGTTGTTTATATATGCAATTTGGCTTATAGTTATTTTTTTATATCTGAGGTTTTTGACTGTTTGGCTAACTATGCCTTTGCTTTTTTACAAACTAATAATTCTTTTATTCTACTGTTTAGCCAAATTCCTAATGATCTTACAATTTTGTTTCTTGGCTCTTCTATTATTTTGCTTTGTCCAAAAGTAATCTTTCTGTCTTCTTTTTTCTGTTTAGAATTCATTACTATAAGCTTTGACTAAGCTTTATTTATTTTAATATTATTGGCTTTGAAGAACTTTTCTGTGATTTTGAGAATTTTTAATAATTGTTTTTTGCTACTTGCAATCCATATTGTATTATCTGTATATGCAATTGCTGCTTGTCTGTGTTTTGTGATACAGTTAAAATTTGTTCTTCTTAATACCTCTTGTTTTACAATATAGCCTAGTAATTCATTTTTCTAAATTTTTTCTAATAGTAGATTATAGAAAAGTCACCAGATTAGTGAAGAAATTACCTTCTCTTGGTCTATTTTATCTCTAGCTGTTATTTTTTCTGTTAAATCAAGAGCTATAATAAACTTAAGTCATTATTCATAAAAAAGATTAATAATGTATTTTGCTATTTTTTTGTAGTATTTTGACTTTTTTAAGAGCCTACTTCAAGCTTTTTAATAGGACTGAGTCAAATGCCTTCTTTATGTTTTGTAGAAGTATTTATATTTTTTTGTTCTTTTCTTGTGCTTCTTTTATCATCATATTTAATAGATGTATTTGTTGTTCTGTTGAGTTGCCTAGTAAACCTATATAGTTTGGCCCTTTGAGGATTTCTCTTTCTGTAAATATCTTAGTCAACCTTCTTGTTATCACCTTTATATTCAACTTTCTAAAAGTTTCATTTAGTGCTATTGGTCTAATATTGTTTAGACTATATCTACAGTTTATATCTTTTGGGATTGGATAGACTTGTGTTATTTTTTATTTCTTTAGTATTTTTTCTTTTTCTAAAACCAGATTTGCAAAAGCTTTAAAAATCTTTTTTGATTTCTTTCTTGCTTATTTTATTAATATGTAACTTATGCCTGATATTTCTGATGCTGTATTAGCTTTAAGTTCTCTTAATATGTCTTTTCATTCTTTTTCTTCTATCTTTTTTTCTAGCTTTTTGTATCATGGCTCATTAATTTATTCTTTTGGTTTGTATATTTCTTTCTATTCTTTAGACATTTTTTCTAATTTGGTTCTCTATTTTCTAAATTGATTTTCAAAATGCTTTGTCAGACCACAATTTTTTGTTGAATTCTCTTGCTAATCAGTTTGTCATTTGGTGAAATATACATCCTAACTACTACTAATTTTAGTTGTTTAAAGTATAGTCTTATTTTTATCATGTATTCACTAAGCTTTTTAATGTTCTTATATGTTTTTTCAAGTTTTTTTCTATTAGAATTCCAACATCAGATCTTTTTTCTTGTTCAATAATATATTAGTCCAATAGCTTTTGAATCTTGTACTAAGATTATATATTAAGATTTTTTTTCTTTTTTTATAATGTTTGTTTCTATTACTCTCAAAATTGCTATCTCTTCTTTTTCTGCCTAGCCTAGTAAATTTTCTAATTTCCAACCTTTAGTTTTATATCTATTAACATTATGATATACAATTTTAATTACTTTTTTTTCTTCTTTTCATTTTTCTATATCTTGTCTCTGCATTTTTTGCTGTTTTTTTCCTTTTCTCTTCTTTATTTCTTTTGAATTAGGAGATTTTTCTTTACTTCTTTCTTCAAAAACTCATCTTTTACAATGTAGAAAATTTTTTATCTCCTCATCCATGTTTGTAAATTCAACTGAGACATTCTCAGAAATGATTGGCTAGGCTCCTCTAGCCTCTCTTGTCTCTTTTAGCTTTTTTAATCTCTTGCAGATTTGCTTCAGAATGTTCTCTATATGTGACTCTCTTTTGTCTCTGTGTTTTTGGTTTTGTCAATCTATCTTCAGGATTTTTTTTCTCCTTCTTCTTGTATTTATATTACCTGTTTAGCTTTTTTATATTAGTTTTGGGTATTGTTTCTTTTTTTAAGCAAAATTAGTCCTCAACTTAAACTGTTTCTGTTTTTATTTTTGTTTAGATAGTTCTTTTTCTTTATTTATTTACTGCCATTTCTATTTTTTTCTATGCTAGAAGTTTGGCTAAGTCTGTTTTAGCTTCTTTCTTTCTCTTCAAAGCTTTCTCTTCTTCTTATTTTTTTTCTTTTTTTTTTACCCAACACATTTGAAAGTTATTATACTGAATCAGTTCTGTTTGAGCTGCATTTATGTCTTCTTCTGATGCAAATATAACTGTTGCTGTTCTTCTTTGATTTCTATTTCAGTTTGAAGAGATATGTACTAATTTTACTTCTTTGCTTCTTAAACATCATAATAGTAAAACCTCTAAAGCATTTCTAAGTAATTCTGTTAGTTTTGCTATATATCTTCTTTGCTTTTTTCTTGTTTTATAATTCTCCTTCACTCTGGTTATTCATATCAGTTTGTTGTTTTTAATTGATATAGCCCATGGAATGTCTTTCTTTTCAACTTCTCCTATCTGTACTATTGCAAGAGTCTTGTACTTTGACCTTTTAATTTTTACTATTTGGGTATTTTTGAATCTTCTACAGATATATTCCAGCTCTTTCTTGATAATATCTGTTAATAAGTCCCATACTATTAAGTATTTGTTGTCTTTGTACTCTCTCAATTTTCTAATATCCCATGTCTGCTTTACTTTTATCTTTCTTGTTGTACATCTTTTTTCTAGTTTTCAGTATATTGTTTTTCTTCTCTTGGTGTTCTTTATTGTATACTCTCTGTTTTCTATTTCTATTCTTTTTTTCTTCTAGTATCAGTTTGTACCAATTACTCTCCTTTTTGTTAATTCTTTGGATTGTTTTGTTTCTGTCATATTCACAGTTGAAGTCTACTTCTATTTATAAATTTCTCTTTTTAAAAAATTTTTTAATTTTCTTAACATGTTCATTGTTTTTTAGTGACCAGCTGATAAATTTTATATGCTCTTTTTGTGTTGACTCTGGCACATTGTGTACTGGTATGTTGGTGAGTAGGCAGTTATTTTAGTTGCAGTTTTTTTTATCTGATGCTTATATGCTATTCTTGAGAGGTATACCAATTATATCAATTTTTTTTTAATTTCTTGACTTCTTTTTTGTCTTGTTAAATTTTTATTTATCAGATCTTGTTCTATATTTTTATTCAGCTTTATCACATTTTGTTCTACTTCTTCTGTTGTTTGTCAAATTTCTTTTCTTAGATAGAAAGCTATATTTTTGTTTGTCTGTTATCTAGATGACTTACTTTTATATTTGTTTTATTTTGTATAGACATAATATTATCTTGTAGTTCTTTAATGTTT